ATTTACAAGATTTTTTTGAACTATTTAAAAAATTGTGTTGTAGATTTGGCATCTTAATGTGAGTACAGTGAATATTAATGAACATATCGATGAAAATACTTTAGAAACAGAATATTTCCTAAGGCATTTGTGTATATTTACTTTAAAATTTTTCCTTAACTTACACAACATTTTTTTCCTCTTTTGACAAATTAGTCTTCACCTCTGTTTTTGCTTTTTAGAATCAGATTTCGAAAACTGGTTTTATTTATTTACTTCCTAGGATATTTGTCATCCTTGTTTCCTTAGCTCAGGGCCAGTTTCAGGTACTGGCAAGTTTCTTGTTCTCCTTTCTTGTTTCCAGTCCTGTGTTATTCACTGAATGATCCTATGAAAAAAATTCCCTCTCTAGGATTCTGTTTTCTTAATTATTCTTTAGCCTAATGGCGGAGTCTTGAATTTCTATTCTTACTTTAGTCAGAGTATCAGCATGCTTACAATTTAGACCATTTCCTTTGATAATTCTATCATTTAAAAATGTTTCTGCATCTTAGACTTGATGTTATTTTTCCCCCTTTTGGTCGTCTGTGGTTTGCTGTCATCATTTCTACCTATTTAGTTAAAAGAAAACTTTGTGTGTGCATGAACAGTATGAGCTTTTGGTGTTTACTTAGAGAATAATCCAACTTTTAACCCATTTTATTCCTTAATAATTAACATGTTTATTAAGGTAAACAATAGTTGTCAGCATTTGCCTTTTCCCATAGTTCTTTTACTCAAAGTGGGTAAATAGTTGATGAACGTTTGGATAAATTTCTTTTAACATACAGCAGTTAATGATTTGAAATAAGCTTCTATTCTATTGAATTCTTTTCTTTAGTATAAACACTGGCTTAGAATTAGGAAATGGAGAATCTTGCTCTACTTACTTGCGATAGCAGACACCTTATTCTAGATATCAGTGATAAGGCTTCTTTTTTAGGAAAGCTTATTTGTTGTCTATTTGCTTTTATTGTTTGTTAGCAAACCAGGTTGTCTAAGTTGTCTTTATTTCTCAGACACAGAACACAAGTTTCACTTAGTTCTGGAACTTACGAAGCCCTTATAGAGACAGATGGGCCATCTCATTCTTAGGAGAGTTTTAAGGGAGATCCGATATCTCCTTTAGTTTCTTGTGGCTCACCTACCTTGAAGGAGGTTTGCAAGGTGACTCAGAAGGGGAACACTAGTTTGGTTGTGTATGAGTTCTCCAGCTGAATTCTTCTTTTGTATTCCTGCCATCTCACCACCTCCTGGGGGAAAGTGGGATTTCACCTTAAACCAGCTAATGGAGGGATTATGCCAAGACTGCCTGAAAGATTCTTTCTTCCCTGGGATTCAGGGGAGGGGGTGGGATTATCTCATAGACGCATTCCAAATTTTGCCTCTGTTAAAGCCTCCTCATCTGCT